CTGGACCTCCTCGTACCTCCCTCTTTTGTATTCCTGTTCAAATTGTTTGTCCAGCAATTTCTTTCCCTCTTTTTAATCCCAATCTTAACTCTTAATATAATATAACATTAAAGTTTTACCTTTTTAAAAACCAAATTTCCATTTCCTTAAACTTTTTTAATCCTAATCCTTAATCTTAATCTATCCATAATTTTAAATCCTAAACAGCTGGAAGCCACTTATTTTTAATCCAACATCATTTGCCAGAGCAAATCTTTCAACTAGTACTAAACAACACATATTTTTATACTGGAGCAGGTTGCAATTACTGTAAGGTTTTCCACATTTTGACAACTGCAGTTCTGACAGTAAGCAACATCTATATCAAGAGAACCTGAAAGCTGAACCCTTCCCAAACACACAAACCTTAAAACATGTAAAAGGTTATCCACTATAATGATTTTAATAGTTAGATTGTTACTTATTTCTCTTTTTAGCTGCCCTTTGAGTTGAGTTCAGGCTTGAAGACAATGATATAACATTTTGGGGAGAAAATACAACCCAAGATTCCAGCACTGGAGGCCAAGATGGAGAAGATCTCCACAGCCACTATGTACTTCCCTTTGGTGCTTAAGTAGGATGGAACAAAAGAAAGCCACACACTGCAAAACACCAACATGCTAAAAGTGATAAATTTGGCTTCATTAAAAGTGTCCGGCAGCTTCCGAGCAAAGAAAGCCACAATGAAGCTGACAAGAGCCAGCAATCCCATGTAACCAAGAACAGAGTAGAACATGTTGGCTGAGCCTTCATTGCATTCCACTATGACTTCTTCAGGCAGAGAGTGCATGTCCAGATCTGGGAAAGGAGGGTCAGTACAGAGCCATACTATACAAATACTTGCCTGAATAGAAGCACAACCAAGAACAATAGAGGTGGAAAATCTTGTCCCCACCCATTTCCTCATCTTGGATCCTGGTTTGGTAGCCATGAAAGCCAGAACCACCGTGAGGGTTTTAGCCAAAACAGAAGAAACAGCCACTGAGAAGATAATACCAAAGGCAGTTTGTCGTAGATTGCAGGTCAGTAACTGGGGGCGCCCTATGAATAGCAAGGAGCAGAGGAAGCAGAGCAGGAGGGAGATGAGCAGGGTGTAGGTGAGATTCCGGTTGTTGGCTTTGACAATGGGAGTGTTTTGATGTTTGATGAAGATTCCAAACACCAAAGCTGTAGTTGCAGAAAAGCCAGAGCCAAAAGAGCCAAACTGATGCCTAAAGGTGCTTCATAAGATAGGAAGTTTTCTTTCTTGCTGATGCACTGGTTTCTCTCTTGGTTAGGATACCGATCTTCTTGGCACTGGAAGCAGTCATCCATATCTTGCAGTATAAAGAAATCAAGATTACAGTTATAGTATTTTGAGTCTCACTGAGATACAAATATTTATGGTCTAGGATCAGGAAACTGTATTATAATTCAGTGTAATTTACAGTATACACAATACAAAACATTATCTTTTTCAGGAAATTGTTAGAGTGTTAACATGTTTTGTCTTTATGGTAAGCTATTTTGGAAGATTCTTTCCAGTGGATAATTAAATCAGAATTAAATCTAAATGATAAGCTCCATAAATGTATGTTTGTGTTTACACGTGCGTAGAATTGGAATTTGGGTGTGTTCAGAGGGGAGAAATCCCTAGTTCATCAATAAGAACTTTCAAAGCTATCTGAATGGAGAAATAATAATTAAACATTAATGTTTCACAGCTTACCAGTAGAAATGGTTGTAAAATAGGAAGTTTCATTTACCAATATTCAGAGTATTTTCTACCCCAGAAAGGAAGCTTAATGTCAAAGGAAGACTAAAGGTGCTAATATAATCCAGTTAACACACCTAGGAATATGGTTAAAAAAAAATTACTATTGAATTGAAAATTCTAGAATTTTGGTGATCAAGTAAGTTGGTGTCCATGCAATCCATGAAGTTTTCAGGTGTGGAGGTAAGCAGAAGATATGCTGGTTAGCAATGTATAAGATTGTTTATGACAAAACACTTGTACAGTGGTACCTCGGTTTAAGAACAGTAAATATATTTCACAAATAATAAATGGTATTGGGGAAAGATGGAGTCAGTTTGTACTTGACGGTTGGTTGATTCTTCTCTTAGTTCTCTTTGTTGCATTATACAAAACTTCCATAAACTAATAATCCAAATCTTGCCCGTCCTCAAAAACCCCTCCAGACAATGTCTGCTTGAAGTCACCAAACTCCCACGCTCTCAGTCAAAGATGCAACAAAGAGAACTAAGAGAAGAATCAACCAACCGTCAAGTACAAACTGACTCCTATGAAGGAGCTTTGAAAACAAAAAGGACTAAACCCTCTCTTGGGCTCAAGGGACAGAAGCACATTCATATATATATATATATATATATATATATATATGAATAATACTTGATTTTCAACTGTTGACAACCAGACAAGTAATGTTTCTCTTCAGGTCTTGCGTAAGGTGTCTTATTCATATATATATATGAATGAATGATACTTGTTCAACAGTTGAAAACCAGACAAGTAAAGGTATATCTTCAAATATTTTGTAAGGCGTCTATTTGTTCATAAATAGCTAACAAAAAACATGTTCTCAATATAGTTGATATACTATATCATACAGTCCCCTACCTGTCTGGTTTGAAATCTTCCCTTCTGGACATGGAGTACAATCATAGCAGCAAAATGGTTCCCCCTCTTTCCTTTGTCTGCTGTAACCTGGATGGCAGTGGTCATTACACAGGGCAAGGGGCACCACCTGCCCATAAAACAGAAGGTATTGCATGTATTCTATTCTATGTTTGTTCTTTGCATTTTCATCAACAGGCTGCTGCATTGAAATAAGGCACCCAACAGGGTATTTTGAAAAAATTAATTAATTAATTAATGCCACTAACTTTACAATGGTTGTGACAATCACCAATATTTGTGCATATTCAACCCAACAAAGATAATAGAATCATAGAGTTTGAGGGGGCTCTGAGGATCATGTATTCCAAGCCCCTGTAATGTAGGAATATACAGCTGTCCTATAAAGGGATCAAACCTGTGACCTTGGCATTATCAGCACCTTGCTCTAACCAGCTGAGCCACTCAGCCAGTAAATGGTTCAGGCAAAGAAAATGTGAATATCTACTGATATGTGTAGATTTTATAATATGTTTTTAAAGATGAGAAGTGGCAACTTGGTTCCTATAAAGAAATGAATCACAGAAATGAAACTAAAGATTCCTACGAAGCACAATTTTGTATTGCATGCTTTCTGTGCTTGTTGCATGTGGATGTTCTCAATATAAAACATTTATTTCATTCTTGGATTATTATTTCACAATCCACCTTAAGAAAAATGAAATCTCAAACATGGCAACAGGAGAAATACAGTGCGTAGGCAGAGGTATATGGGAGCCAAAGAACACACCAAAAATTAATTATATTTTTTATTAATTTATAATTCCCTGACACCTAAAAGTTCTTCCACAGAATGACTACAAAGGTTCTAACCCTTTGCTGCTAGCCACACTACACCAACACCCCTACCACTGGTCAACAAATCTTGGTTCAATGCAGCTAAAAGGAACTCATTCAGCAGGGTGTACATGATGATGAAACAAATCTGGTGAATGTCTACCTATAGACCTCAGAAGCTGCAATTGGGTCCTACCTGGTTAAAACTCTGGTGCCATGTAATGATCTCTCATCAATGGAGAAATCACTGCCCAGTGGTTCTTGGGATCCACTTTCCCAACTTTCACTCTTAAGAAGGACTTATTTGGGAAAGTCACCCAGTTGATAATATCAAATCCACCTTCTAGCTCACGCTTCTCATTAAAAAACACAGTGTCCCCAACACTGTTGTTAAACAAGATATTCCTCAGGAAAGGTTGAAGCTACAGAGGAAGAAAGAGAATGGTAGATTTGGTAAAAATAGAGAATACACTCCAAAACTTCTTTTTTCTCTTGCTGGGATCAATTCATACTATTTGTTGAAGCTCCCCTTGAGTTTTCAGGGGAGACATACCTGCCTAGATTCCATTTCAGAAACTAATTTTGTATTTCGTAATTAAGAAGCATTTTTTACCTAGAGGTAGTAGCTGCCTTCATTCAATGTAAGTAAACATTTTTACTTTTACAAATTTGCCTGCTTTATTCTGAGCAACAGGTAGAAACTGAGGAAAGATCAGCAGATCACAAAT